GACAATGAAACATAACTCTTCTATGAAGAGTTGAAGCTGCACTATGCTGAGCAAATCATTTGTCATTGCTCAAATCATTCACCTTCCTGAATCATGCCAGTTATTATTGATGGCTTTTCTCCATGGAAGAAATTGGGATAATATACTTTTCTAGAAGATGCTTGCCATCAGCTCTGATTTTTGGACATGGAAGTAGAAACAAGAAATATCTGGTGTGCCACTGCTTCCTTATCTAAGTACTAAAGTATGGATGCTCCCCTTTCAGTGCTGCCAAGCACCATGCTAAAAATAATCAAAGGCTTTTTTAGGAAAAAAAAACACAGGATAAAAATGCATCAATCAATCAACCAATTAACCAGTTTTGCAAGGTAACCCAGTATTGTTTGGAAAGAAGGCCATTGTTTTTATCATCCCCATATATTTTTTAATTTAATTTTTAAAAATATAAAAAAAGAAGTGTAGTGGGAGAACTTTCTTTTTTTAATTTACAGGTAGTCCTCGAGTTACGACCACAATTGAGCCCAAAATTTCTGTTGCTAAGTTAAGTGAGTTTTGCCCCATTTTACAACCTTTCTTGCCACCGTTAAGTGAATTAACAACTTAACAATTGCAGTTGTTAAGTTAGTAACTTAAGTTGCTAAGTGAATCTGGCTTCCCCATTGAGTTTGATTGTCAGAAGGTCGCAAAAGGGGATCACATGACCCTGAGACACTGCAACCATCATAAATATGAGCCAGTTGTCAAGCATCTGAATTTTGATCACATGACCATGGGGATGCTGCAATGCTTGTAATTGTGAAAAATGGTCGTAAGTCATTTTTCAATGCTGTTGTAACTTTGAACCATCACTAAATGAACTGTTGTAAGTCGAGGACGACCTGTATTAGATTTTTGTTCTAGCTTTATTTTAGATCAAGATGGAATATATGCCTAAGGTTGTAGTTTCTCCACAACAACGATTCTATGAGATGGGTTGGGCTGAGAGAAACTGACTGGGCCAAAATCACCCAGCTAGCTTTCATGCCCAGGGAATAACTAGAATTCATGATCCCCTGATTTCTAGCTCTTTAGCCCCTACACCAAAGTGGCTCCATTGTTGATTTTGCATGCAAATAAGCTAAGAGAGATTCTTCCACTCTTTTATCACATAGGCCTTAGAGCTAAGTCAATGTAACACAGATACTCAGAATTTAATGCTTTGGAACAATTATTCCATAGCTACATACATTTATAGACTATATGATAGTTTTACTTCCTCCATTCTGAAAGCTTGCAAACGCCTGTTTTTCCATTCAGTTACAGCTCATGCTAGATATAGTATTCAGGTTGGATTCATATTGTCCAAACATTCTATAGCAAACCAAAATTCTGACAAAGGTTTTTCCGAGCCCTGTTACTAATGATCTTAACAGGAAGAGCTGTTGATCTGATGCCTTCACATTTAAGTTTAAGTAGGAAGCCTACTTAATACTTCTTGCTTAGTCCATCATAATATTTTCTAAATAGGGATTGGCAATTTGGTGTCTTCAAGTATTTTGAGCTATATCTCCTATACCAGTGATGGCTAACCTTTTTGCCATCGCGTGCCAAAAGTAGGGGGAGTGTGAGTGAGGGGTCGCGTGCGCACGTGCTCACACCCATAATGCTCCCACGTCCCCACACACATGCGTGCGTGACCCTCTCCCCCCACGCTCCTTCTGCTTTTGACACATGACAGCAAAAAGGTTACTGGTGGGCCTGGAAGGCCCGTTTTTTGCCCTCCCCAGGCTCCAGAGACTTTCCGTTTCCCGACTTCTGGAAGGCCTCAAAATTAGCTGGACGGCTGGAGCTGAGCTAGGGCAACGCTCACATGCCCACAGATGTGGCTCCACGTGCCACCTGTGGCATGCGTGCCATAGGTTCGCCATGACAGTCCTATACAGTATATCTTTTGCTCTTTGGCCATAATGCCTGAGGGGTACAGTCGGGAGTCTATGAGCAAAGTTGACTGCCTATTCCTGCTCCAGAGTTTACTTAAAAACACATTGCAATAAATAATAATCCATCGTAATAGATATAATTCTATTTTAATAAATATAATTCAATTTTCATGACTCCTACATTAGCATTTAACTTTTCTCCTAAGAATGACATGTAATTCTTTACATGTAATTACACTGTAATTCTTTAAATAGCACAAATGTATTTGTTTTAACCACTCTTCTTGTGGGATGCTAAATGAAAATCTTGTACCAACATCACCACCTGCTGGCTGATTTTTCGATTCCAAAAATATTTGCATTAAAAAAAATCTTTAGGGATCTCAGCACAAGTAAATGAGTAGTAATAGGTAAATGCAAAAGGCTAACTTATTACAAAAAATGTGACTTTTGTCAAGGGAATGTAAAGTAAAATCAAAAGAATTGATAGCAGAGAGAAATAGCTGTCAATGGTTCTCTTGTTTACAATTATTAGAATGATAAACAATGATTTTGAACAGTGTAAGATTGAGTTTGAAATAGAATTGTGCACAAATGATGAACATGTAATTGTTAAAATATATAAATTTTTATTGCAATTTGAAACAGAAGGGCAAGGAAAAGGATGTATGATGAAGTGGGCTAAGGATTTTTGCTATAACAGATGGGACAATTGGAAATATATGGCTGAAAGACTGGCATTTACACTATGTCATAGTTTTATAGAGAATTTTTATAAAATTATATCATTTGTTTTTCTTCATGATAACTACAGTGATGTTATTGCATGCAAAAAAATGGAAAGATCTGGCATGGAAAAATGGTTGGTGAAAATAATGACACTTGCTGGTTAGATTGACTTGTTTGATCAGGGAATAGACAATATTTATTTATATTTTATGTTAATTTTATGTTATTTATTATATTTATTTTACTTTGTTTATTGCTGACTAGAAACCCCTTATAGATTTTTTTGTGGAAATATCAGGCATGGAAGAATCATAGCCACACCTTAAATTCCATTTAAGATTTATTGCTCAAGAATGTAGTCAATTAAAGGTCAGCTCTATATTGGCGCTGGATAAGAGTTACTTATGGGAACATAACTACTTCAGATTCCTCTCTTGACTTGGCCCCCAGACTCTGCCTCTTCTTCTTCAACAACAGAAAAAAATGAACTTGAGATTTATAGGTTTCATGACTTGACAAGATATATTATTGAAAGATTATTATGTTGTAACCATAAAGTAAAGGGTAAATTTATAATTATACGTATAACTATTGTAAAGAAGATTAGAATGAAGTCTTTGTGTCTTTTTCCTTTGTTTTTTTCTTCCTCACACTTTTAGCGTTCTCTTTATTTTTTATTTTTCTTTACATTAGTTTGTATTTGTTTTTATTTTCCTTTTAAAAACATCTTTAATGCTATTATATGTAATTTTAAAAATTAAAATTTTAATTTTAAATATATAATTTTAAAAAACTACACAAAAGTGGACAAGTATCTCAAATGCTATTGTTGATAAGACTCAATTTATTCTGACTATAATATGTCCCCAAAGGGGAAAAAAACTGTGGCAGGTCTTACTAATCATAAGGGGAGACATTGGGATTTTCTGCAATAAATTGCCAAGTGAAAATTTGGATGGTGTTGTAGCCATTCATCTGTCTTTAATCATGAACTAAGTGCTGAAAGTTTTTAATTAGCTTGTTGATTGATATACAACTGAGCATATCATCAGCTGTTTTTCTTCTATGTGTATTTCTCTTTTCTAGTAGCAATAGGTGGTCTGCAATGGACTCACATCAAGTTTGGATGCCATTAGTCAAGTGACATGAACACACCCAAAAGCAAAATATTTATTATGGAGATTGGCCAATCATAAACTGATATGGATATAATTTAATACAACATCCGAATCCTGAATGTCTGAACTAACTGCATGAAAGTCTTTAGAAAAAATTCAGACTAAAATTAGTAATACTTTCAAAAATTAATTGAAGTATTCCCATTTATTTGCTCCCTAGCTTCTAATTAAGGATGATAATTTCATACATAACCTTTTCTCCTCAAAAGGCTCACTCAAATATCAATCATGCAACTGCTGTCACAATGTGATATACATTTGAAGAAAGGAGAAATTACTCTACATATTAAAGAGTATCCACTGCTGCTCAGAAATCCAAGAGAAATAAAATGCTGTATATGATTAGCCTTTGAAAAACAAAATTGAGAAGTAATACGAATTCAAGATTCTTCAAATCTTGAAAGGCAACCAACCGAAAAATATCAGATTTATTTTTTCTCATTCAGATTACAGGACAAAAGAAACATAATGTACAAGGCATGAGGTATGGCCTAAAACAAAAGTTCTTAAACCTAATTACTTTTCCTGGTTCCGTTACAAAATGGAATTCAAAACCCACTCACTTCTTCCATTTTGGAGCATCTGCAGTGTACATATTATTTCACAGAGATTTCAAGTTTACACTTGCTGAATGTTTATGAGACATTTTTGCTCTTGCAATTGCCTTATGTTTGTGTTTCTAGTTTCATTATTAATTAAATAACTTAAAATTTCAAATTATTCTAAAATGAATGGAAAAAATATTTCGTTTTCCAGGGGACTAACGTTCTGTCAAAACGGCTAAGAATTTGAGATATTTCCCAAATCTCAACTGCAGCTTTGCGCAGCTTCATGTCGTATGCCAGTTACAGTTCTTCCTGGATTGGGTGGCTCTCATCATATTTGGTTAAGTAGGCCTACTTCCCACCCAGCTGCCCAAGCGACTTGCAGGACTCAGCCTACTCCTCAGCCAGCTCCAAGGCCCAACACCATCCAACTTAGTTTTCTGTTTTTTGCAGAAGCTCCCAATTGATGTGATGCGAGGCTCAGCTTTCTTACAGCTCATGGCAACTTTGTCAGAATATTCATGACTGGGAAGACATGGTAACAAGGTCAGCCAATGAATAGGCATAGCAACTAACTCAGCCAATTGGGAGCTGAGACAGACTGGAGCCAGGGCGTGTCTTAGTCTGCAGCTTCTGATTCTGTGCAGAGAAATGAAACTGAAACCAGCACAGTGTGTGTGTTAAGTTCTGAGCTGTGAAGCTGTGTGTCTCAACTTGTCTGCTGATCTGAGCTAAAATGAAACTGATCTGTCCCAAAAGAACCACTGTTGGTATTGTAAATTTACTTTATGTGTTATTATGAATATAAAGAAGTTAATAAATCCTGCTTTGTGCTATTCTTCAAGCAGGTAGTATTCTCATGAGCCCATTTTTTAAGGAAGCCCTCGACTTACAACAATTCATTAATGACTGTTCAAAGTTACAACGGCACTGAAAAAAAGTGACTTACGAACATTTTTCACACTTACGAATCTTACATGGTCACATGATTTACATTCAGATGCTTGACAAGTGGTTCATATTTATGACAACTGCAGTGTCCTGGAGTAATGTGATCCCCTTTTTCGTCCTTCTGACAAGCAAAGCCAATGGGGAAGCCAGCTTCACTTAACAACCGTGTTACTAACATAACAACTGCAGTGATACACTTAACAAAGGTGGCAAGAAAAGTAAAATGGAGCAAAACTCACTTAACAAATTTCTCACTTAGCAACATAAATGTTGGGCTCAATTGCAGTCATAAAAAAAGAGCCCCCTACAGGCTCTTTTAGTGCAGGAGATTACTGCACATACTCCTACCTGGTTTTAGGCTACCTTGGGTGGCTGGATGGAAAGCAGGTTGAGGCCTAGAGACCTTAAAAGCACTAGATCTTCCAGGGCCTCTACAACTGATGAGGCATTTGTGCTCTGCTTAACAACTAACACATTCATTTAACAGCCTCATGAGAAAGAGCAGGGGGTGGGGGTTATTAAGCGGGGCTGTCTTGCTTAACAGCCATCACGACATGTGACAATAACGGGCAGGCTCCATTACAGTCGAATCTCAATGGCTATCTGTATTGTTCAGATCCAGGTATATTTATTTGACAGATACTATGTACATGTAGAACATATAAATAATATTCTATGCATCTTATTGATTGAAAACTATAATATTAAAAAATAAACCCCAAAAGAAGCTAAATTGCCAGGATTTATTTTGTGATACAAGCAAATTTCACCACAAAACTGTGACAGCCACCTAAGGAATTAGGACATCCAATAATTTCATTCACCTGTCTCCATTGTATATATTTTCTATTACCAAAATTGTATGCTCAGTGGGCAAAGCCAATATCTTGATAGACTATAAAATGTAATGACTGAAGAACATGATGTTTGTCAGAGATTTAATAAGGCAAGAAAAAGCCAATGTTGGTATAATAATTTTGTTCTGTGGGCACTTGCATTAAACTACCATTAGAGGGAAGCATGGAGCTTTGTTCTTCTTACAATGCTGTATATTTGAATTTTTCTTAGAAAATTATTAGTGAACAGTTTAGAAAGAATTTAGATGTTAAGAGAGCATGTTTCTTAATTAATTATTAATATTTATGGAAACTGGAATTTAATGTAGTCCCACTGTATATCCGGGGTTCTATTCCTTATAAATTTGCAATGGCCTCTAATCCCAAAGCTGTTTTTCTAAACTTTAATGCCCAGAAACAACTTGGGTAGTTCCTATGCCACCCAGTCATTCATCACAAGAGTTGAGGTCCCATCCAGGAATTAAAATCCAGATGACCACTAGAGACCAGCAAAGAGATAAACAAAACTCTAAAGTATGCTGTTCCCAATTATTTATTTTGTTATTTATTAAACACATACACTGCTCAAAAAAATAAAGGGAACACAAGCAGAAGACATCCGAGATCTGAATGAATGAAATAGCCTTATTAAATACTTTGTTCGTTACATATAGTAGTTTTGTGTTCCCTTTAGTTGTTTGAGCAGTGTACAAACTACTGTATGTATCTCGGATGTCTTCTGCTTGTGTTCCCTTTATTTTTTTGAGCAGTATATATGGCCGCCTAACTCACACACAGTATTTCTAGGCGGCTTACAACATTAAAAATCCACAATCTAAAACTCTTACTTTCCCTCCCCCCCAAGGAAGCAACAAATTCAATCAAACCAGCCACTTGATCAGCTCTGTATCAACCTACTATCAACCGAATGTGTAGAATGTGAAGGATGTATGTTTTTGTTTTATTTTTTAATAGTTTTCTTATATATGATGTACACTGAAGATGGCATTTAATTTCATTGTTCGAGGTGCAATGACAATAAAGTAAACTTAACTTAAACTTAACTTGGATTATTAATTAAATCATGTCAAGTAAAGAAATGCATAAAAATCGCAACTTGTCAGGCCAATTCCGGGCAAAATCAGGGCTCATTGAGTTATGCAAATGACTGGGAATTATGAGCATTGTAATGGGTGAAGTTTGCTTTTAGAGACAATTGTTTTCCTAAAGCAAACATGGAGGGTTTTTTCAATGGAGATTGTCAGCATGATTTTTATTCACTTAGGCTGTGAACTGCATTTCTCATTCATGCATGTTAATTCACTAAACTGCATAACCTTTCATTGCATTATAGGTGGTTGAAACTGGACGATAATCCTACAGGGCCTGACCGCTGATACAGGCAATTAGCATGACCCCTTTGCCATTCAATCTGCAAATCTCTTGCTGTTCCACTCCTGTGGTGTAAGAGAGAATGCTGACATCTCTGTGAAGTTTGCCAAAAGCAGTTCATGTGGGATCAAAAGGGGATCGCGGTTGGCTTTATTTCTTCTGGTCAACAACTGATGCTAGAAAAATAATCTACTGTATTGCAAGAATTAAAAACTGGTCTGTTGGAATCTTTAGGGGACAAGAAATTCTGGTCTACTAAGCAAACACCCATGAAGCAGATGCCGGAGTTACATGGCGGTAGGGCTTTGCTCACATGATCATCATGAGTATCATTTTGATGTGAGAGGATGAGTTGCCTTGAAAAGGCTTCTGGGAGTGTACAGTGTATGCAATAAGCGCAGCAAAATATTTCTGCTGTATTGTAATCTATTTATATAGTGAGATTATAGTGGACTACCTGGTGGAAACCTCCCACACACACACACACACACACACGCACAGAGTCCCTGGGAACCTCTACTCTAATTGCATGGTTCTAGTTGTATTTCTACAGATCTCAGGTTAGCCTTGCTACTTGTCCTCCACTGTAAGTATAGTTGTACTCCTGCCTTGGTTTGCACTTAAAATGGACATTTATTGAAAAAAAATGAGGCTAGACATTATCAAAAACAAGAACAACAAAAAGGGATTACCTGCTCTGTGGAGTGGTGTGTGTGTGTGTGTGTGTGTGTGTGTGTGTGTGTGTAAATCAGTGGCGGGTTGCTCCTGGTTCACACCGGTTTGCAAGAACCGGTAGTAAAAATTTGTAGTAGTTCGGAGAAACGGTAATAACATTGGCTGGCCATGCCCCCAAACCGGTCCCCGGCCTGGTTGCCCCTCGCTTACCCCACCCACCTCATCAGAGGTTTTTTTTTTTTTTACTTTTAAAAGCATTTTTTCTACAACCTCTTCAGCCGAAAAAATGCTTTTAAAAGTAAAAATAAAGCCTCCGATGATCGCATGGCTCAGCTGGGATCGTCAGAGGCTTTTAAAAGCATTTTTTCTACAACCTCTTCAGCCAAAGAGGTTGTAGGGGAAAAAATGCCTTTAGAAGCCTCTGGCGATCCCAGCTGAGTTGCCTGATCGTCAGAGTCTTTTAAAAGCATTTTTTTCTGCAACCTCTTAAGGTTGTAGAAAAAATGCTTTTAAAAATAAAAAATAAAAAGTTAGCCACGCCCACCCAGTCACATTACCCCCACCAAGCCACACCCACAAAATAAGCCACGCCCACAGAACCGGTAGTAAAAAAATTAGAAATCATTTCCATCTTACTGTAAGGTGACCAGATTTTAACATTGGTAAAGAGGGACATTGTGGGCGTGGCTTATTTTGTGGGCGTGGCTAGCTGGTCATGTGACTGGGTGGGCGTGGCTAGCTGGTCATGTGACCGGGTGGGCGTGGCTAGCTGGTCATGTGACCGGGTGGCCATGGCTATGTGTATAGGGTAAGGTGAACAGATTTTAACATTGGTAAGAAGGACACCATTGTGGGCGTGACTTATTGTGTGGGCGTGGCTTGGAGGCCATGTGACTGGGTGGGCGTGGCTAGCTGGTCATGTGACCGGGTGGCCATGGCTATGTGTATAGGGACTACTCAGAGGGCTGAAAAGTCATTTCTGACAGGTCCTCACATTTTTGACTGGTCCTCACACTTATGACCATCCTCACATTTATGCCCGTGCAGTATTCTTAACAACCATGTCACTCATTTCACAACTGCTTCTCTTCACCATGGTGACAAGATAGGGCAAAAATGTAAAATGTGAGGACAGTCGTAAGTTCGAGGACTGGTCAAAAGTGTGAGGACCAGTCAAAAATAACTTTTTCAGCCCTCTGAGTAGTCCATATGCACAAAAGGACTAACCAGAGGGCTGAAAAAAGTCATTTCTGACAGGTCCTCGCACTTTTGACTGGTCCTCACACTTATGACCATCCTCATATTTATGCCCATGCAGCATTCTTAACAACCATGTCACTCATTTCACAACTGCTTCTCTTCACCATGGTGATAAGATAGGGCAAAAATGTAAAATGTGAAGACAGTCGTAAGTTTGAGGACTGGTCAAAAGTGCGAGGACCAGTCAAAAATAACTTTTTCAGCCCTCTGAGTAGTCCATATGCATAAAAGGATACAGCAATAGAGAGGGATGAAGGAAGGGAAGGGAAATTAGAGTAGGAGTGAAGGTAAGAGGGGGAGGAAGAGAGGAGGAGAAGGAGAAAGGAAGAGGAAGTAGGGAGGAGAAGAAGAAGGGGAGGAAGAGAAAGTAAGAAGGAAAGAAAAGAGAGAGGTGGTAGGTTTGAGGAGAAAGATTGCTGTACAATAAAAAAGATGAAAGGGAAGAAAGCCAACCCCAAACAAATATAAAGATATTAAGATAAAGAATGAATTGTTAAACTTTAAAGAATAAAAAAGAACAAATATGAATAAATAACAATAATTAGAAATACACATACAAACATACAATGTATTTTCTTTGAACAGAGTATTTGGCCGGTTCACAAATTTAAACAGTGTTTAGTCACTTCAATTAAATTTACAATTTCTATATTTCCTTTTTGCCATATTTATTCCTCATCTATTTTTTTAAAAAAACCAATATTACCCTTCATCCTCATCTCTAATCTTAATCAAATTCAATTTTTCCCTTCTATTCTATATTATACCTCTTCCCATTGTCATCTATTTTTATATCCATCCTCACATTGTTTAATTATGTAATTATGTAATACAGTTGTTTAATACAAATTCAACATTTTAATATAAATCAATTAGTTATAAAACTATCTTTTTTGTATATTAATCAATATGAACATGAATATTCCAATTATTTCAATGCAATCCAATTTCTTACAAATCAATTAATTATATTTACCAATAATAATAAACCAAATAATTTCCCCCATATATTCCTCTGAACCACAACTTAACCATTTCTGCTTTCAACACAATATACAATTAATAGTATCTCAATTATTACAATTTCCTAGTTAAATACAGCTTTTTTTTCTTTTGTGTTTTAAAATCTTGAACTCTCCTCCTAAATTTCCCATTGTTTGCAGTTTTTCACCTACCTTTTTTGGGGAGGAAAAATAAAAATAAAAATAAATCTCTCTCTGCCTCATTTTGTCATGTTGCACCAAAGATCCTGGTTTCGGTTTCGTTTCTGCAGCTTAGCTAGGGGGAAAAAAAACTGCTTCAGGAACTCTTTACACTGATTGCCTGTAGGGCGGCCCTTTGAAGCCCCGGGCAAGAGTTTAAACAGTTTTTTTTTCTTCTAGCCATCAGCTGGGGCTTAAGAGGCAGCGGGACTCAGGAGGCAGAATGAAAAATCGGGACTTTTTTGAAACACCGCGGGACGCGGGACAAATTGCTAAAAATCGGGACTGTCCCGCCAAAAGCGGGACATCTGGTCACCTTATCTTACTGCCAGAAAAAAAAAATGATATAGATGGTGTCAGGAAATGAGGAAAACTCAGCTCGATACAATCATTACCTTTTGCAATCCTATGCAATTGGGATAATAGAATCTAAAGCTTTGGGGATCAGGGGGACAGTGTGGAACGAAAAAAAGAGTCATAATGATAACCTACCTCTGAAATTCATTCTTGAGATATTATTTCAGTGACTCAGAAGACAAACTCCTCAAGCTGCAGTTGGTAATGAGGGAAAGAAAATCTTGGCCTGGCGACATGCAGCCCAAATCAAACACCAAACAGATTACATAGCAACAACAAAAGCAGCTGCAGACTTATTTTGCAAAGGTTTTTGTTTGGTTTTAAGAAACATAAAAATAAACCTGAGGAGAGAAAAGACAGGCAAATGACCATATTACAAACATAAATCCGGGTAGTTCTAGTAATCATTTTATACATGAGGGAAAATTCATTCATTTGTTCTTGTTTATCAACACGACAAGCAGGCTAAGAATCAGATGTTGGAGCAAATGCTGGGGCTTTTGGTCTTAGAGGGGCCATACTTGCTAATGTTGGCCTCATTTATTATTTACATTTTAAAAACCATTGTTTTTTAGGATCCAATGCTGTGGTGAAAATCAGAGCATTTTGAAACTGGGGCCAGAATTCCATATAGCCCGCTGCAACTTTGGATGGGAAACACAAAGACCTCCAAAATTTTCCCCCGAAATGTAATTTTTAATGTGATGTAAAGAAATCTATTTAAATGTATGACTGGAGTGTCAGCATATTAAAGATGTGTAAAACCAAACAATTAGTTCTTCCTACAGAATATGCCAGGCTGCTCCAGGGATGATCAACCATTTCCCATCAATTAATCTTTCAAATTGGGAATGACTTGTAGTGTTCTGGATGTGGTGTTTAGGGCCAGAGTGTGTTCAGAACACCATGAATATTTCTGAATTGGAGGATGAACTTCTGGAAAATCACCAGACCACCCCAAAACAGCGAGATCAACATGACCTGAAACAAGGGGAAAAACTGTTCAGAATTCCCTGAAAGATTTATTCCTCCAACATATGTTGACCTGGATTCTATGGGATGTCTGTTCCAAGAACCTTTTGTTTTTCTACATCTCTAATGTTAACTTAATGAAATTAAATCGAATGTAGTTGCTATCTTGCTTTACCCTTTATATATCAAATTTGGCCCTTGAAACTCCACCCAAAAGCCTTGCTTCAGAAAAGGACAGATTTATTCTCTTCTGAATGGGGGTTGGGAGTTTCCTGTCTCTGTTCTTGAACAGGATTCTACAAGCCTTCCACGACAGCTCATAAAAATAAGCTCTTGTGAATCCCTCATGAAACAAATGCGGCTAATTTCTGAACTTTTCTCTCCAAGATCCTTTTAACTGACTTTTGCACAATGACTAGATTTCAGACACTTTAGAAAATAGTCTGGTAAAACAAGCACAGATAGCAACTCATTTTTTACATTTGCATCTGGGATCAATGCAAGAGAAACTGGGATCCCTCTATTGGGATTTTCCTGCAATGGAAAGATGAGGTCCATGAAAATAGGTAGCTGACCAAAAGTAAAGGATAAAGGAACCTCTGCAGATTTTACTCCTCTAGTCATCAACTATAAGGGCAATGGTCATCTCTGTTTCAAGGACATTGAGCCAGTGCTGTCCGAAGACATTTCCACAGTCATGTGGCCAGCATGATGTTACCTTCCCACCAAAGTGGTACCTATTTATCTACTCACATTATTTACTTGCAGGCTTTCAAACTGCTAGGTTGGCGGGAGCTGGGGCATTGTGTGGCACTCGGGTCTCGAACATGGGTTGCCACCTTTTTAGTCAATAAGCCCAACATCTTAACCACTGAGCCACCATGCTGCCAAATGATAACCAAAGGACAGTGTTAAATTTCAGTTTTGCTCCCTTGACTTAAAAAAAAAAAAAGACAAAAGGAGAAATAAATAAGTTTGGACAGCAAAGGCTAAGGGTAGGAATTAATTCTGCAGTCAAGCTCCTAGGCTAGACAATTCAAATGGTTATCAAAAAAGAAACATCCTTAACAGCAAGCCCCATATCTGGATATCTTAGTGGAAATAAAAGTAGGAAAGGAGGAGGAGAAAAATAACCATGTAGTTTTTTTCTAATCACACAGTCACTTTTAACTGCAGGCCATGTCTTCAAATTCAGAGTAGCATATGTCATTGTATAATATTCCTTTGATGCCCAAATCCCTTGGTTCATAACCAGCATGTTGAAGAAAAATTAATTAAGAGTCAACGTATACTAGTATCCCTCAACAGAATTAGTGTTTTACTGTAAATGCAAATTAAAATTTGCTTTCTTTGTATGGGCATGCATGATTTAACTTAAAATAATTAATTCTTATTAATGAATTAAATATGGAGCCTACATTTTTCCCAGGGAGTTTAGGTTGAAATCATTAGCTGTTATAATAATTTTGGACATATGTTTATAAATAGGGACTAAGTCCACTATTATTGAAATATTTTCTTGGCTGAATGATATTTAAATTTGACAATATGTATTTCATCACGTTTTTTTCTTGTTGACTCCCATTGATTCCAACTGTTAGTCCTAATATCACATTACCATACTAAATGTGAAATGATCCCCTCTTCTTTGTCTTATTTGGTCTGGATCTATGTCAAGAACTTACAAAATAATTGTATAAATGTTATTTTAAAGGCACAGCAGCTGTTCTCTTCCATGTTCTAGGATTTATTGACTTCTTACTAAAAAAAGTGCATTTGGGGATATAAGAGCCGAAGCTACAGGGCAAATTTATGCTTATTTTTAGCCAAGATTTCCCTCTATAGTAGCTAGATCAATGTAATAGACAAACCGAGTACCTCTCTTCATGTTGCACTGATTGTAGATTAGAGGTGATATAATTCAAAAACTCGTTGGATTTAATCCCTGGAAGGAGCCATGGAGATCATTTAGTCCAACCCCTTCCCTAGTGGAGGAATCTCCCCACTGCAGTGCATTAGTTAGTGAAAGAAAGTATAGCACACAAACTGAGAATGCATGAAACTTCTATGTTTTTTAACAATTGAGTGACAGTGTCTGAGGAGATTTTGAATAGCATGGAGGAAGCATTATAGACATTATTGTCATATTCAGGACAGGTCTAATGGCTCTCTGGCAGCTGAGCGGCCTCAACAGATACGTACATTTCTAGCTAACTTCACAACTCAGGAGCTCTTCAGCATTGGAGTTGTGCAGTTGTGACTGGTTACACTTTGCAAAATCCCTCACCTCATCTTCCTCCCAGCTGCTCTGCACTCCCAGTCTCCTGCTGAAGCCACAATGCTTGCCTCCATTGCATATGTTTTTAAAAGTGGAATTTTTTTTCATCCCTTAATAATAAATCCAGCAAAGCACAACAAGAACCAGGGATTGGCAAGAATGATCAGCTTTGCACTCCCCCATGGTGTTGGAGGGAACCCAAGTTAGTGAACATCAGCATTTATGAAGATAGCAATAACAATAAGAATATTTACAAGGCAGTGCAAAAATGCTTCTTGGAATCAAGAAGGGGGTAAAGCTAGCCTTCATGTCTTGGATGCTTTTGGGCCAAGCAGCTGGGAGGAATTGTGATGTTTGTTTTTTCCTTGTGTTTCTGGTTGGCCACAATTGGAAACAGAATGCAACTCCATCTTCCAAAGCTCCAGTTTTGATGAATCTCGGTGCCAAGATCCATGGCTAATGGACCTTGAGATTGTTAAAGTCCAACAACTTCAGAAGACAATAAACTGGATATGCTAGCCAGTTTTGGTGAACCTTTTTGGCACCAAGTGCCGAAACGGGAGCATGCGCACGCGTAGACCAGCTGGCTGGCGTGCATGTGCGTGCTTCCCTGCACGCACATGCACGCCAGGGAGGTGCTCTTTTGGTTTCTGGCACTCCCCTGTGCCAGGGAGCTGCTCTTTTGGTTTCTGGCACTCCCCCGCGCGCAAAGACCATCTGGCCGACGCGTATATGCACACCGGAACCTGAAAAAGCAACGAGCGACGGCTGGCATGCCCAAAGAGATGGCTCTGCATGCCACTTCCGGCACGCGTGCCATAGGTTCACCATCACGGTGCTAGACTTAACAATATCTTGGTCTCCTCCAGCAGGGATGTTTTTGTGTAATTTAGGTACAGTATCTAGCTACACTTTCAGTGTACAGCATACACTATATGGCACTACACAAAGTCTTGTAGCCAAGAAGAGACAGATTCCTATCAAAGAGCTTACAACTTGAATTAAAACTAAGAAGACTACAAATCTGAGCCTTCTCTTGAAATGTAAAATACTACACAATCTAAGAGCTGTCCTTAACTTTAGGGACTGGTGGCCATAATGTAATGGAATGTGTCACGGATGACCTTGGAAAGAGGGGAAGAGATGCTGCCTGGGAAACTGTTGACAAGAGAGGCAGGAGCCCCCAATGGCTTAATGGTGAGGAAGGACCCATGTTAATTGATCAAGCAGTTAAAAGTGATGGAACAGGAAGTTTGTACTTTCAGCCGTGCAAGATTCTCTTTATGTAGCCATACAATAAAGTAGAAGTAGTTCATCTTATCGTGTTTCCTGTCTAGTTTACCTGGGAGGACTGACATCAGTCTCGCAAATCTGAAAGTACAAACTTCCCATTGTCAATTTTAACTGCTTGTTCCTTGAGGATGGATCCTTCCTAAAAAAATTTCTCTTCCCTTCATTCCCAAAGGTCATCCACCCATTCCATTACACATTAGTCTCAATTCCCTGACTCTGAGACAACCCCTTGCTTTTTATAGAATAAAAGAGTTGGAAGGGACCTTGGAGGTCTTCTAGTCCAACCCACGGCTCAAGCAGGAAACCCTATACCATTTCAGACAAATGGTTGTCCAATCTCTTCTTAAAAACCTGCAGTGATAAGAGCATCCACCACTTCTGAAGGCAAGTCATTCCACGTCAATTTGACTCTTTCCCCTCTCTAAATTGTGCACTGGAGCCTCTATCTCATTGCCAGCCAGACATAGTGGAAGGCTGAAGCTATCTCCGATGATTCAGGAGAAAAGTGTGGTTTTCGACCCATAATGCAATACAGATAGTCCTTAACTTACAACAGCTCATTTAGTGACCGTTCACAGTTACAGCATCACTGAGAAAAATGACTTATGACCACTTTTCACACTTACGACAGTTCAGCAACCCCATGGTCACATGATCAAAATGCGAATGCTTGGCAAGTGGTTCATATTTATGATGGTTACAGTGTCCCAAGATCATGTGATCGCCTTCTGACAAGCCAAGTCAATGAAGAAACCTGATTCTCTTAACAACCGTGTTACTAACTTAAGAACCACAGTGATTCGCTTCACAAGTGTGGCAAGAAAGGTGATAAAATGGGGCACAATTCACTTAGCAACTGTCTCACTTAGCAACGTAAATTTTGGACTCGATTGTGGTCGTAAGTCAAGGACTACCTGTGGAACCTTTATGTGGACACTCTGTGTCACATGGTAGTAGAGCCTAACAATCTTGAAAGTTTCAAATGGTCCTCCGCAGGATTGCCCCTCCCATCTGGCCCTGAGACTCTGTTCTTCTGCTCTGGCAGCTGCTGCACAGAGCAGAGTCTTTTGTCAATGCAGCCGTTCCACATAGAATTTGCTTCTTCTAGGTCAGGAAAAAAAAGAGAAAGTTAATTCAAAATTTATGATGCTAAGCAAGACAGGTAAGTGAGTTTTGCCCCATTTGATTATCTGTCTTGTCGTTGTTGTTAAGTGAATCAAACTGCAGTTGTCAAATTAGTCAAACAATTGTTAAATGAATCTGGTTTCCCGATTGACTTTGCTTGTCAGAAGCTTTCCAAAGAGGATCACATGACACCCACCCACCCTGGGACACTGCAACTGTCATAAATATGAACCAGTTGC